GTACACCAATGCGGTATGTAGCGTAGGAGCAGGAAGCAAGAGAAAAGGTAAAGAACCGCTAGCAAAACCGCAAGATAATCCAAGTCGCATCAACGAACTAAGAAGTTGCTTGGATTGTGATATCGCTCTATGCTATACATGACAACCACTGTGATAGACTCTTAGCTATTACACGAGCTGCTCGCTTGGAAGCTGGACGTGGCACGAGCAGGGCGGTGGTAAGAGCAGGGGAGTGTCCTATGTTGCACCAGCTGTTCACGTGGTAGTGATCACGTGCGGAAGTGGGCGCTGGTTAAGTGGGTGAGTTGGATGATGTGGTGACGCACCGGATGAGTACGGCGAAACCGCGATCAGTAGCACGTGGCGACTGCGGCGGTAAGGCGTCTACAGTTGCGATAAGATGAGAAGAAAATGGATCGACCGCAATCGAAAGTGAACCGATTAATGTTGCATTATCAAATTGTGGTAGCGTTTTGATAGTCATAACATCCTTCACAACATAACACAACCATTTAGTGCACTCAGAGCCATTGCACGTTTTATTCGCGCAGCTGAGCGTGACCTGCAAGGTGGCTGAGCGGAGAATACCTGAGGTTAGTTTGGGGAAAAGTGAGGTGAAGGGGTACCATATTGGCGCGACCGACGCTCTCCTGAACAGGAGCACCCAGCGACTGCGGAGACCGAAGCATCCAAGGCTGTCATGAGATGGGGAGGAGAGTAATCGATCATCCATGACCAGATTTTGAACTTTTCATTATGAAAGTGCCCTGCGATCACATGGCGCGTTTTTCCATTTATTTTATTAGAAGACAGCGGTTGATCGCCATGAGAGCGATGCCTAAGACAGTAGTATCGCCCTGCTTATGCCTGACTTTGCTCCTTTCTTTCATGAGCTGAGATGTAAGGCTCTAAAGGAGTTGCATGAGCCGGGCGAAGCCGCGCTTCCAAGAAACAGGAGAGCTCGGCGTTAGCCGGGCGATCCGACTGGTTATTAACTATTGCTACACCGGTTTTTCGAAAATAAACCAGTTTTTGACCGGCTATCTATATAGGCGCGGATTTGGCTGCAAACTCGTTTCTAGAGAAATTTAACCTCACTATAATACGGAGATCACAATTAGTTTTGCGGTAAAAGTTCCAGGCCGCTCGCCACGGCGCTTGACGTCAGGATACCTCAAAATCAGCCAAATCGCCCCGAAAACTTGTGCCCGTATGCGGTAGTCTGGTTGCCAAAAACGAGTATCACATCCGCTTAATCTAGAGCGCCCTGGATACCGCACGATCACCGAAACCGCCAAAACTTGTACTTCAACTCAACTTCACTCTGTAGCATAACTTTGGCTCAGCGTTTTGGGCGTAAGCGCGTAGGCAGCGGTTGCGCGACTATGAAGTGTAGACATCCGATTAGTGTGTCTAGGCATAAAGAGCCTTTTTGAGCGTTTCGCAATGTAGTTTGAACTCGTTCGTCGAGGGCAGTCGCTTGAAACGCTGGCGTAGCGCTCTAGCAATTACTTCGATATATATACGTCCCTAGCGCCTCTAAACAGTCCCGTACGTCCGAGACGCTACAGCAAGTATGAACGCATCTTGCTATGCCGCTTACATGCTGCATGATGTCTCAAACTGTTAACTGCACTATAAATTATAAAGCGATCTCAAGCAAATTGAATGAAGACAAACCTTCAGTGTTCCCGGGCGCGTAGCTCCGCTTGGGGGAAGGATGGAGGATACCTTTTGTAAACACTTTTATAGTGTGGTATTACGTTTCTACAACTCTTGTAAAAAACTCATTCAAAGCGAAGGAAGTGGTACGTTTCGTGCTGCTACGATATGTTCGACTCCTAAAACCCGAACATGCGCATCCGGGTCAAATCCTAGAGCTGCCTATCCGCCGCGCAAGGAAAATAAAACACGAGTCAGGCTGAAAACTTGTGTACGCGATTATAGACATCCTGGTTACGGATGTGACCACATTCTTGCTTAGTACGAAATGCCGAGAACAGGCTATCTCATTGTCTTCTGGCCATCAGAGCTGTAAATGGCACTGGTGCTTTAACAGAGCGCTACATGGCCAGATTGCGCATGAAGTGCCATGCTCCTGTATGCATCAAGAAGTCATCGAACCCTTATGGCCATTTCCACTAAAGAAAATTGTTTGACTTTTCGGAATAGTAATGGTTGAAGACGACATGTACGCTCAAGACCCATTTGAGGGTCGTATGAGACATCAGCCCCACAGCTGTTGACGGTCGTCTGTCCCCCCGCCAAACTGCACGGGGTTGAAGAGTACGGGGCGTCGGAAGACGAATTCCTTGCTCCAAACGCCCTCACGTTTTGCTATACCTGACATCCCGCGGCCGGTCGCGTCCAGCTCTCTTGGCTTTTGCCAAGTCCTCTAATTGCGCTTGCGAATACAAGTAAAACCAATTTCTTTATGCCGGATTAACATTTTAGTGCTGACAAAATAAGAACAGAAGATAATTGACAAGGGCTAGACTCAAGAGCAACTGTGGTGGCTCGCTGCGTATCCCTCACGAGGCCCGCATTCCCGCAGAACATGAACAATAAAACGCGACAACATGACATAAAAACTTGACAATACAAGCAACAACGCAATTTTCTAACAACTTTTGAGGTAATTGCCTCACGCCTTCAAAGTCCGAATAGAAGGTGATGAAGAATGACAAAAGCTAGAACATAACAACAAACGAATGTAGTGAATAATAACAAATTTGAAAAAACTAAGGAAACGCTATATAATTAAAATTGCGTTGAGCATTTCTGCACATTCCGGCACTCGAAGTCCGGCTCAATGCTACAGAAATACTTCAAACTAACGACGTGCGACCTTAGGCCGTTTTTATCTTGATTTTATTCGAATGCGCGACCTGCGAGGGGTGTTGCACAAGCAGCAAAGTTGCTCTTGAGTTCTAGCCCTCGTCATCATCTTCAGTTCTTATTTTGCAGAACCTGAAATGTTATCCGCATAAAGAAATTGCGTTGTACTTGTAATCCAAAGCGCAATTACAGGACTTGGCAAAAAGCCAAGAGAGCTGCACGCGACCGCGTAGCGCGAACGATGTTGGTAAAAACGTGAGTTTGCAAAAACGGGCGGCGTAGCAAGGAATTACGGCTTTCCCACGGTCCCGTACTCTGACCCCGTGCAGTTCTGTGCGGGGGGACCACGACACATCGACAGCTGAGGGGCTAATAGTCTCATACACCCTCAATGTGTTTGAGCGTACCATGTGCCTTTGAGCAGCGCCTGCGTTTCTTTCGGAACACGAGAAACTATGAAATGCATCACATATTCATAAGCTTTAATTTTTACAAGACTTTCATTATTCACACATCTTTTACTTCTTTTAACATCAAATTTGCAGAACAGGCGCCTTTTTCATAAATTCCTGCTCCGTAGTGCGGACCGTCGCGAAAGTCTTATCGGAGTAGTGTTTGGAATACGCCCGAGTAAACTGGAACGAGCAGTTAAGTCAATCAAGAAGTTGGTCGATGCGGACGAGTCGCCCAGTGCACAACTATGGCATATGGAAGTCTAGAGAGGGTGGCAATCACAGCCGCAGCGCTTCCATGTTCTTTCCTATAGCCAGACTTGGTTTGAGAGCTCATGTCAGACGATCAAAGCCACCGAGGCAAGTTGCAGTAAGAGAGAAGCTCGGAATGTGAAAATAATCACAACGAAAAACATTCAAATATGAGCGCAATGAAAACCCTACAAACAATATCAAGCAAGTGTTCCGCAATATGAGTATGAGTCTGGCGTGTACTGTAGTGTGGTGGTGCGCTCAACATAAATGTTTTTCATTTGACGCGCAAATTTCGGGGGTACTGTACACCCCTAAAAACCTGAACTTATAATCTTGTCATCCCCGAAAGGGTGCTATAGCTGGATGGACAGTGTAGCAAGCTCTACGAACATATCTCAGAGTAGGGTTGCTTGGAAGTGCAACTTGAAGTAAACGATAATAATTCAGTACTGTAAAGGAAACTTGCAAACTATGAAGAAGAGGTTCAAGAGTATCGAGCTGACGTAACCTAGCAAGTCAGCTTCCTAATGTCGCTTTCTTGTGGCTGCGGATGATGTATGTTGCCTGCTCACAGCTCTGACTATGCACTCTGATCTGTTTGAGTTGCCCTTCGGTGGTGTCTCGCTTGCGACTGGGTTTGTCGTGTTTAATGTTTATTCTGCATGCAGCGTCAGTGGGCAAGGTGGTGTCCGTTGCTCCACGAAATACCACTGGGATTCACCCGTTCCTTTTCCGCGCGCTGAGCTGAACAACACTGGAATGCAGGTGACAGCCTTCAGTGGCGGTCTGAACTACCGGAACCACCTGCCACATTAACTATGTTGGTCAGCCGTTGAACTTTACAGCTCCCAGATTGGAGCAAATCGAGCAATGCGGTATCGGGGAAATTTATTGTTCACAGAAAGAGGATGAGTCCATTCAATCCGAGCCGCGACCACCAAGGAAAACTGAAAAAAGACCGTCAAATCAGTCACCCCGGGAGGCACAAAATTCACAAGCAGCTGACTGTGACATACAACATGAAAACTACTGCGAGAGCGACAGTTATGCTGTTGCTGGTGAACCATGTGTAAGGGCCTGGAGTTCCTGATGCGGAAGTGCGTGGGCACTGCAAAACCATCATGGGCCATTCGCAACCACCCCACCCTTCAGAGAGGCTGAGAACGAGGGTTTGCACCTGACCGACGAAGACTGGGCGGAAAGATTTGCCGATTTGAAGTTGATGAAGCTACGGGTCCTGACGGGGTACAAGGTTTCTTTTGAAGGAAAGTCCCTGATACGAGAAGTACGCTGAAAGAGTGGTGTCAAGATGTATTGTGTATGCCGCATACAATCATTCCAAAGCGGCTTTCCATGTAAAAATTGCTTTGACTCCAATGGAGAGCTCCGAAGGTTGAGGCCTAGGAGGCTCCTAATTTATAGCATATTTGAGAACATGTTGTAAAATCCTATTCCATGACTGCACAACAGATCCCCGATGTACAGGAGGCGTGCTATTTGAGGAGCAGGTTGCCTTGCGCATTATGGTTTTACTCGCCCAAAAGGGATGATGTTGTGGAAGCTCAAGTGAGAATTCATAGAACGATCGGGGAGCTGGGACAAAGAATGAATCCCAGCAACTGCGCCATGCATTTGTTGCACCTGTCTTGGTAGGTGACTGTGACTACGGGCTAGAGGATATACCGATCTACTAGTCGAACATGCTCTACAAGTTTCTAGAAGAGGAACAAAACGCACTTGTGAGTAAGCATCACTTATGCTCCCGTGTCAGAGAGGAAGCCTCTGCCACAGCACGAAGGATCATGCTCAGCAACTTCACGGAACGCGAACGCTAAAAGGTCAATGAGAATGATCATGATGATATTAAACTGAAATGCTATCTAGAATACCCTTCACGGAACAAGTTAATTGGGCACAATGAAAAAGAATGTTCGATAAGGCAGTACGTAAGTTGCATGCAGACTCGCCAATGCGTTTTAGGCACAGTTGCATAGTTACGGTCTATGTGAGCAAGCAAAAGGGAGCGCTTGGTTCGAAGTCGGCGGAAGAAGAGATGGAACACACTTTCTTTCACACATGGTATTACCTCATCATCCAGGGCCAAGTCCCTTATCACCTATTTTAGAGTCCCAACATCCACAACAATACATCACTATCTCCGAATTGAACGCCGTTATGGTGAAGAATATGTGGAGCGTAAAGTGACTCACTCAGCCCAAGTATCCATTCAGATTAGAGAACGTACATTCACAACGGTCACTGGTGATTTCGTCCCTCGCTTGTGGGCGGTAGGCTCGAACGCGAACACATAAATGAAGAAATTGAGTGCAGTGATTAGCAACAACGAAATGGATGAGCAGCAGTACGTCTTTTACAAAGGTTCGTTCCTGGGTTAGAAGTCTCACGAAATGTTTGAGCTGCGCAAGAGGATGCTCCCACAACGAAAGACCGTGCATCGTGCTGATCTATATGAGCGGGCAACAATCAGCCATGCCGAGTGCGCTGCAGTGCCAAGGAAACGGCAGGACATATTGTTCCCTTTGGTTTACCAACATCATGCTAGAAAATCATTGAAGGACAACAAGTGGTTTGCACTGGAAGGATCGGATTGTGACAAGGAATTTGGACGGCTGTCCTTCGGAGAATTCTTCGTACGAACTTGAAAGCTGCATTACAAGCACAGCACAGGAGAAGGATTGGTCGCACCTACCGTGATTGCGGCTCATGGCTAATATTCCCCAAACTTGCTACAGTATCCAAGCTTAAGGTGTTGGACTGCTCGGAAGCTGTCATGGAGAGACGCATAATGCGCAGTGCTCGGAGCAAATAGAATTGTTGAATTCGATGTGTCTGATAGTGATGTATAGGCACGCAGGCACATAATTGCTAGCTCTGAAAGGAGTGAAAGGCCATATTCTGTCAATGCACGATGACAGCCGCACGGCTGTAAAACGGATCGGATCTACAGCTAATCAGTCGTAGAGGATCCCGGCTTCTCAGAAGTGCCCATAAGAAACGAGCTAGTGGACTGAGGGAGGGGAGGGTAAACAAGAAAACCTGAAAAAACATAAACGAATTTACGAGATTCCCACTGGTTCTAACTACTATCCAGCTAAATCACAACCAGGCTTGGCAGTAGCGGTGAAAGAAGACCTGATGAGCTAGACTTCGGTTTGGCATTGTGAAGAGTCATGAGAAGTACAGCATGTGGGAGATTTTGATAGCCAATGAAATACCACCACTTTCCTCGGTTTTCACTCTTTCGGTGAGGAGGGGATTAAAATCCGGCTCTTTTCCGTTTATTGTACGGAAGCCACCTAGTGTTCGGTCTCTCGCCAAGGAGTGTCAGGATAAACTTTGACTCTGTCAAACTGAAGGCAGTGCCCCAAGACTAACTTAGAGGGCACGAAAACATCCGTAGAGCAAAGTAGAAGCTCGCTCGATCTCGAACAGTACAGACCGCAAGACCGTCGATATTTTTGATCCAAATACTATGGTAAAAAATTTAAGAAGAGTAACCACAGGTAGAAGTGACTGTGAGAGCCGAGCCTTCATAGGGACGTCGGTTTTTGATAATTTGATGTCTGCTCTTCCTATCATTGCCAAGCAGAATTCGCGAAGCGTTAGATGGTTCACCCTGTAATGGGGGAGACGTGATGGCTTCAAACCGTCGTGAGACGTTAGTTCAGCCCTACAATGACTAATTTTTACGATCGTAATCCTGCTCAGTACGAGAGGAATCTGTCATATGGTTCATGGACTTGATCGATCCCTCAATGGTACGAAAGCTCACATCTGGACGTTAATGCTGAATGCCTCTGAGTCTAGATACCACCTAGTCAAGGCAGCGGAAACGCTGTTACGGCGGCCGCCGGAGGCAACTCGATCTCGTGGCAACTCTGGAGCTCATGCTTTAGTAAATCGCCTCACCGGTATGAGTAATCCCCGCTATTGTAAAAGTCAGATCACTGTGCCTATATCGCTCCCAGTAACCACATCCAACTACTTCTGTGGCGACATGGATTTTGGGGACCCTCTCCTTCTGAGATCTTTCATCATCAGTTCTTATCAATTGTTGTCACTTCCATTTACCAGCAATAATGTTTCTCTCTTACCCTCAAATTCTAACTGTCAATTTGTACTCTGTGCAGCTCACCCGAAAGAAATTATGTGTTTCCCGTCAAACGCACATACACACAGAAAATGGCAAGCTTGGCGACTTCCATATTGAATATTTTTTTGCAGGTCTTTTATCTACGGCAGTGTAGGTACCATTGTTGCTCATGAAGTCTCTCACAGTCTCGATACAAATGGTGACAGCAAGTACTTTGAATATAATTTCCATTTCCGGTTGTTCATTAACGACTGTTCATGCTCTCTGAAGGCAACGGGTGAAACCCAAAGCTCGTCCTGTAGAGTTATGCCAGAAAGGCGAGAGTACGTTTAAGTTGCTTAGGTGCTCCACAAAGTGGCTGAAAAGTATCGGAGGAAAGTTTCCCTTACTTTTTAGGTTTAGCGGTTCCTTTATATTTGCTTCTGTAACATTTCTAGGCTCTTTCAAAAGCATATCACCGCTTGGTTTTGGTTTTTATTAGTAGCAGTTTTTTGGTGTGAAGAGCCCGCGTACGTACCGCGTTGCGTGTTTTGAGGAAAAGAACCCTTCAACGCGCTTTACAGCGTGAAATACCAGTTCATCTTTGGTGATCCTGGCTATGGCAAAGTGAACGAGTTCACAGTTTTATGGACAAGTCATTTCTTCAAAGTATGCTCACATGAGGTTCAGGCAGTGCACGCAAAACGCGGCGTGCCGCAAAGACCAAACAATGCCTTGGCCAAGCATCCTACTTCTCTGCGCCCTAGCACCTTTGTTTGTTGAATACCTTTAAATGAGTACCTGTTGACTGAGTACCTTTCAATACGGTAGCTCAAAGGTACGTTCCGCGATAAACGAAGGCTAGGTTCTCACAATCGTGCACGATGGTCAAGCAGGCAACGTCAGAGGCTATACCGCTTTCAAATTTTGAAAAACAGCAAGCAAAGCGCAGCGCGCTCAGGTTTTGGGCCCATTGGCGCCCGACAGGCCCATGCCTATTAGATCTTCCTTGTTAGAACCAGCGTCCTACAGCTGCTTTAGCTTGCGCTATGAAGCTACCAACCCTAACCTTCAAAGACCCGTTACGGTATCTTATCAGCTGTTATCACCTCCTGCCACCCATCAATAGTGTTCCTGCCCAACCGCCTACATCACTTCTTAGTTTGAGGACTCTATCGCTGTTTTGAAGGAAATATGAATTTCCGGTCAAACACACATACAGACAGACAATCAACCATTCACACACACACACCAACAGACAAACTAAGCGGATTATATATAGTAGGATTGTCTCATCCTGCCACCAACCGTCGACGTATCCCCGTTCCTCTTACACGTTAGATTAGTAATATAGCTACATTGGCACTCCGCGAGCCGGTAACTTGAGTCAAAAACAGAATTCGCTGACGCCACTTTGAGCTACTCTTGTCGACCGCTTATAGTTTTCGTTATCGCCTGTCACGCCTCTTCACCTCCTAATGCTTCACCATTACATCTCTCATAGAGCCAATACGTCCCATCTGTTGCTGTGCGAGCAAATTCAATTCAGCTGACCGTCTGTTATGCGACTTTCAATCAACGCCAGTGCTATCAAGTTTTTAGTAAGCCATAATTGGATAGTCGCTTATCCTGCGCTTATATACTTTCAATTTTATAGTTGAACGGTCAGTCCTGGGGAAGTGTCACCTAATAATCCCAGTAGTATGAACGGCAATCCTGGGGAGGTGTATGGTCAGCAGAGTTAGGGTATGAATCAGATGATTCGCAAGTTCTTAACAAACTCGAGAAGACTGAAAAGGATGTTTAGAGCAAGAAACCAGATAACAAATGGTAGTATATCGTCTCCACGGTCTCTGGAAACTAACAAATTTTTTGTATGTCCCGGACATTTGGCGACTGTTCGTTTTCAGCAGTTTTTCCAGTCGTCAATCAAAACCACGGATAGGAGGGCACAGATTCCGAACAGAGAAATGAAAGTACTATAAACGGCTCACAGCAATTCGCTTCCGAAACTCATGTCTCTGGTGGGGGAGTCCTAGCTTAAAAACCGTTCACAAAAAAAAAACTGCAAAAAACTCACCAATACACACATTACGAAATACTGGACTAAATCATAGGGAGCCGATAATAAAATCCGCACGTCAACATCATAATATATCAGTGAGCAATGTGGTGAATCAGCGGCAAAGGTGGCAGGTGAGTGATCGCACACTTATGCTCCATTCAAGTGTACGGTTATTTGCACATGCGTGGTCGTAAAAAAACGGCACATACTCCCGACGACCATATTCAATGGATCGACAGCAGTCATCTTTCGGCACTCATACACACCTCGAATCAAAATGAGGGTCGGACCCCGCCTCCTTTCATGCGGGGAGCTTATGTCAGAAGATATATGAATACTAACTAAGCAAAGCGTAAACCGGAATCACATCTTTTTACACTGGCCCACCACCCACGGTTTCTCCTATCTAGCAGCGCTAAAAATAATCGCTATTTACTCATATGAATCCTAGATCTCGTTTCGTTTCAGCTAACATCTGATCAAACACTTTCATTTCGCATCTGGTTGGTAACGCTTCAACCTATGCCGACACTTTTACGCTCCTTGTCAAGCCAGTCACCCTACTTCTGGACATCCGGAAAGAGGCTTTACTGTTCTTCATGATCCGCTACGCTATGTAAAGAAGCCAGATGACAGCAACTCAACACGGCGCACGCTTGAAGAGGAAACGCGACCAA